GGGCGACAAGTAAGATTCACCTAAAAGCGATAGATGCACTAGACTACACGACGATAATATTGCTTAATGACAACGATAAAGCTATGATTGATTCATGGGTACTACTCACGTTTGGTCTCCTTCGCGAAATGTCACTTCACTGCTACAAAAACACGTCCGGACATGATGTTTTCTAGATCCAAAGATTCGTGTACGTGTGAGCGAAAAACAAATTTAAAACTGAGCGAAAGTTAAAAAGCCCCCCAAAAAAAAAACGAAAACGAAAACGAAAAACGACGAAAACAACAGCGGCGACGAACGAGCTTAACGTCAACAAACACAGCGACGGACCGACTGTGGACGAGTGTGTGGGGTGGCAGTCCGCGGCAGTCGTAGTAGAGCGGAGTAGTTGCCTGTAGGTGTAACTCATGGCAACCGGCGGCGGCGGCGGTGTTTACAGTGTGGCCGTCGTCCCGGTGCTAAACAGACCGGGGAATTACCGTGCAATGGACTTGGAGTGGTTGTTGTTGTTGTCGTTGGCTTGTTGTTGTTGTCCAGTAGACAGTGACACGTCGAAAAAAATTTGCCATAAACGGTACACGATTTTTTTCCTCTGCGAGTTCTGAGACCCGCCGGAGCGTCACCGAGGCGTTTTCCCGTGTGGACGCGTACGATAAACGAATCGCTGCGTATCGATGAACGATAGGAAAGCTCGAGAAAAACTGTCAAAAAGTTTCATTCCGCTGCGGACAGGATTCGAACCTGTGCGGGCAGAGCCCATTGGATTTCGAGTCCAACTCCTTAACCACTCGGACACCGCAGCTCACGCCGGCAAGGTCGATTATCGTCGTTATTTAAGCGCGAAAGCGATTACGCGATTTTAATGATATGTTGCACATGATGTAAATGTGACAAATTTACATGTGTGAATAATATTGTATGTGACATAATTATTCTAAAGAAGATATTAAAAAAAAACTTAATCAAAATGAAAGTGTAATCGACGTTTTAAAAGACATTTAAGTTGGTACCTTTAACCTCTAACCTATAGGTATGGTAACGGCACAGTGCACACTAATTTAGATTTTAGTATGTAATATGTATGTTGATATTTTGATAAATAAGTAATAACCTTATTGTGACCTTTACTCATAGGTCACTTTCTTTAAAGATTAAGACATTAGAAGGCACAGCAAGCAATAACCACTGGGTGAAATTAAGTTCTCAGACACAAGATACAGTATAGTTAAAAATCACCCATGATGGGTCATGGGTACTTCCCTCACACAAAAAATACACCCGTACGTAAGTTTCCATAAGAAAAAAATACATCCATACCTACCTAAATCACTAAGTCTTCAAACGAAAAAAAATTATTACGGATAGGTACAAAATGTCATACCCATTTTTTTCAGACTCAGGATTGACAACGTTGTCGATGTGGTTAAAATTTGTTTGTTTTTGTATTGAAAAGTCTAATTCGGTTTTTAATTGAACCCAGTCATATAGTCATATAGACGTATATATATTATGGGTTTACTCTACAGCGTACATAAATTATTAATATTAATAACTAATAACCTAACCTGTATACCTATGGATTCAATTAAAAATTAAATGAGACTTTTTGTAATGCAACACAAAGACAAACAAATTTTAAGTACAAATATTCTAATTGTTTTTTATGTGGGCACTTTCTAAATTTCTATCCACTAACCAAATCAAATTGGAAAAACTAAAAGATTGGACTCTTAGAATTGAAAAAAAATTGGTGTCCCTTGAAATGATTATACAATATACCTATTATGTACCTATAATCTATATTTACCAATGTGGAGATGTCAATACAAAATATTATATTCGGGTGAAAGCTTTATAAACACCAAAATCGTAAATACTATTTATTGCCTCTAAAAATAATTAGCTTCATACATTTTTAAGAATTGTGTATTCAAAATTATTCATTGAAAATAGGTAGTAAATAGCAAAACAAAGATTCGTATTGTATTGTAATTATTGAGGGCACCAGAGCACATCGATTAATAATTTATAACAAAAGTAGTTTCTTTATGGGTCGTAGGTAAACTAGTACATTTGAAATAATAAATTTGATCAACAAAAGAAGGCATAATACAAATTAATATTTACTTTAAAATTAAAGTGCTTGAATTATTATTGTTAGTGATGTTAATTTTTCTTCTAATGAGTTGAATAAGTAGTTTGAAAAATGTTTTAGATTCTGAGAGATGTGATGAGTGTATTACTGTATTGATTTTACAATGATGTGAGTTTTATTATTATTTTTGTGTGTCTATCATCACGGTTTGGTGCTAAAATCCCCAATAGTCTTAAAAAGCGACAAGAATACAAACAAAAAATTAAGGGAAAACGTGATAGTTGGTACACAAAATTGGTTTTCGAAAAATTCGATTTTAGTTTTTAGTGTAACTCTAAAAAAAATTACCATAGATGCATGAATTTTTCACTGAATGTTTTTGTTACCATTTTCATATACCATAAAATTTTCAAAATATTTTGACTCCTATTCAGCTATTTATAGATATATGAAATTTTCGATTGTTAATTGTTTTTTTTAAATATCGGTCTGTCAATTAACTTGAAAATGTATGCAATGTTTCTCGTAAGTTGTTGTTAGTTTAAATTAAACAAAAATTTGGGCGTATATCCACAATAATATTTTATGAGCGTTTTAATTTTGAATTTTGACAAAATTCGGAAAAATCACGAAAGTTAATAAATTATTTTGAGTTAGAAATTCATAAAAATTTTCCTTTTTATATCTAAGATTTAAAAATGTAAAACAAGATTCCTTATAAGTTTGTCTAACTTTATCAAAAAAAAATGTCTAAAGGAAAGTCAAATTAAATTTTTATGGGCGTTTGAAGTTGAAATATTTACAACATTGGATATCCACTCGATAGTCGATTTCTCTTGTAGCAATTTTCTTATCCAAAAATGAATTACTGTGGACACTTGAAATTCACATTAAATGTTTTTCTCATAAATTCATATATTTGATAACATTTTCAAAATATTTTTACTCGTTGTAAGCTGTTGACGGACATTTTCAATCCTCATTTTTTTTTCTATGAATATCAATAAAATGTTATTGGTTTGCCAAAAAGCATGGAAATCTTATACAAGACTCTTGGTATATTGTTACAATAGCAGTTGAAAAATATTAGGCACATTTTTGTTTTATAATCATTTAAAGTTCAAACTTTGACAACATTTCCCAAATTGAAAATTGAAATAAATGATTTTGTAGTTACAAATGTATTCAATGTTCAACTTTTATAGTTAACATTTGAAAATTTAAAACAAGTTTCTACATAAGTAGTTAATTTTGTAACCAAAATATCAAAAAAAAAAACATAAACACAGCTTTTATTTATAGTAATTTTAATTTTAAATTTAGACGAAGTTACATATTAACACAAAGAATAACAATTTTAGTCATTTTGTTCCAGAACATAGTAATTTTGCATGAGTAGGTATATAAAATAATTTTCGAGCATCACTGATAATTTATGAATAATATTAATTCAACTTACCAATTACCGTAATGATCAAAATTTCAAATAATTTTAAATTCAACATTATTTTGGTCGTATTAAAATATTTAAATTAAACAAAATCGCGGAAGGTATTGATAAAAAATTAAATTATTGAAATTATGCATCTTACCGCATATAATCGAAGAAATATGCATTAAATCCAAAAAAAAAACTCAAAATATACATTTATATGCAAAATAAAATTTAAAAACTAGCTTTGTTTCAGTATGAAACGTATTTGTTTCTTACTCTGCTATTTTTCTGATAGTGCAAAACAAACATGCAAATGCTACAAGTCCTTTGTACCCTAGTCATAACGATATAGCATCAATATGTAGGTACCTATACATATAATAAAAACTATGAACTGAACATGGCCTTATATACAGTGGTTTTGTGGTTTATCTACGAGATAAACTACCTATTGGGAAAAGAAAAAAAAATTTAAGAGAAATGCTGTGAATAAAATCATAAATAAATAAGGATACTCTCTTATAAAATATACATTTTAAATTGTTACAGTTGACTCATAATATTCTTATAATGTATATATCTAGGTACCTATCACGGCTAATGTTCTTTATAGTTTATATTATAGTCATTAAATAATTCACGTCTAAATCAATTTTAGGAAAAACATTAACCTTAAACAAATATATTTATTTACGTATCTAAGTAATTAACATTTAAGCCTTTTAAATATTTATCTTTATAGATAAGAAGGAAAGTTATACTTTTTGAGAAAATGATTTTAAGTACCTACCTATATTTGCTATTTATAACATGTGCATCATAAAATGAACAAATTATTATTTACATTTTAGATGGTTGTGAATCTTTCGTATGTAAAATGTAAATCAGGATTACCTGGTAATATTATCGGAGAACTCATTTTTAAGACTATTCAATAAAATTTTATTACCCCTATTTGGTGATCACGAGTAACTCGATTTTTTTTTAGATGGTTCATTACTGATACATAACTGTTGGTCAAAGAAATAAATGAAACTGCGAAATCTCTGCAACTAATGAATCAAATGATTTAAATTTTAAACTGATATCTAAAATTTAGTATTGTGTATTTGAGAATCCACAATTCTTCTGCCATCTGCTAAATTAAATAGCAAATGGCTATAGGTCCATTTGGGTTTTAATATGTATAGCGTAAACTATATATTATGTACACATAATTTATATAACTTAGAAGTATATTCCTACTATTTACAGTATGAATGATAAACATGTTTGACGCTTCGTATTATTTGATTTTGATATATCTAACCACTAACCAGTAAAATGTGTATACACTATATATACATGGGTACCTACTTACATTAATGACATATAAATTCAAATTAATTGGATAAACCCCCACTTTGGAATAAAAAAATTGTGTGGTGCTCTACATGTATTTAAACGATAACCTCACCGCGGGTTATCGGCTATCGCAGTGTGATAAATTGTACCAAACCACAAACACTGACTTCAAAGTTTTCTTGTGCCAGTCATTAGTGTGAGTTACTGATTCCGTTACACGATGGTGATTTTCGTGTTAACTGTAGGATTAATGTTTGCTGCAAGTGCAGTGAACGCCGAACAAATAAAAAACTATCGCATGTGCAGCCGGAGTGAGTATTGCATCGATGCTTCAATGCTTGCATTGGTTATAAATTATAATATTATGTTGATCAAATTTTACTCCGTTTTTTATTACTTGTTGTTTCTTTTTTTTCAGATACTCGATGTAATGTTTACGATATGTTTGTTGATCCATGTCCCGAAGCCTTAGACAACCTACCATGTGAATTGCCACAAACCGTTAACTCGTCTATCACATTTAAATATAAACCTAGTATGTATATAAGTATTCTTTAAATAGACAAATAACACAATAATTAGAAACAAAAACTAGTCATAATATTATGTTAGTATAGGTAGGAAGGTAGGTAGGTAGGTGTTATAGGACACTTAGGTAGATATATGTTATATTCCGTAATATGTATAGTATAAAATGTAGAATGCAAAATGCACATAACACACCGAACACATAATAGGTATTTATAATACAATTAAATAACCCTATACGTACATAAGATAACGCAGCCACGCAGGTCTCCTATTACTGTGACAAGTATGTAATGTTTATCAAAATAAGTGTTATGTGCAAAAATAATAAATAGGTACAGCATATTTTAAACTGCATTGTTCTATTGTCAAATTATAGGTACATAAAATATACAAAAATATTCATCAAACATGCTCAAATTCTGATTTTTGGAATTTTTAAACATACTTAAGACCATAATACGAAGTATTCAAGGTCTTGATATTTTTCTGTATTACTTAAAGAGTACTACGGTGGATATGCAAACTTCTGTTTTTCAAATGAAAATCCAGATTTTTCTTGTATAAACTAATTACACATAATTATTGAATAATTATTTTGAAAATGTTGATGTACCGAGTTCAAAATTGTAGTGAGTTTTTTTTAGTAATGAAAATGTTGACTGAAATTAATCCCAATTTATAATACAATACATACAATTACAGAATCTATACTGGGACAGTTTTGGTGGTTCCTATACGACCTACCTTAATAATACAATATGATTAACAACATAGTGTGACATAGTAGAATTTAGTACATACGACTTGCCTATATCATTGAAACACCTACCTTTCTCCGACGTTTTGAAATCCAACTATAATGAAAAAAAAACATTTTAGAATATGTAGAATAGTATCTATTATAATATGTAGAATAGTATCTATAATATATACACTCTGTATCAAGTAAAATAATATATAGCTATATGGTCTAAAACTCTAAACTATTCTTTATCGTTCAGCATATCGCCTAGTCATCGCTTCGTCATCCCTGCCGTTAATTATATACATAATGTATGATATATGTATATATTATATCGTTGACAAATAAATTTAGGCAAAAATCATAAAAATACTATAAAATATATATTATATATATTATGTATATTGTAGGTATATATACAACGATTGTATCATTTACAACTATCAATTTGAATTAATTTTTATTACCTACTAAAAAAGAAACTAATGAGCAGAATTTTTTATAGTTAATTACATTACTGTAGTTATAATATGAATTTATATGAATAATCAATAATTCTAATATAGGTTTTATAAATATGAATAGTTAGTACTTATTAGTTATTACTTATAAATATCAATTTAATATTATTTATCATATTATTTGGTAGGTATGTAGATACCTATGTACTCTTTATATGCATTTACCTAGATATTTTAAATTACAATTATTCTCAAGTTGTACCCACCTAATAAAAGTATAAGAATTCTTTACTACCTATAGGTTAATTTTAAATAACACAAGAATCTGCGTGTAGCTACTAGTACATAGTCTATAAATAAATTATTTTTTAATCACATTTCAAGCATATTTCGAGCATATTTGAATGAGATGACAGTATATTATAATTAATGTTTTGTAGATAAAGAAAATTGTTTTATTATTATTACAAAATATAGTCTTCTTATCGTTTAGTTCTAGTAATTTGTATGTGTTTACATAATTTATTCTACTTTCCATGTATGTATAAAACTGTAGAATTCATTAATCATATTTATATAATATGTAATACCAAATATAATTATAGAAAGTTGGACAAGTTGGTTCAACTTTGCAGTCTGCTGTACAGTATAGGTGTAGAGTGGATCACTAGTAAAGTACCTATGTGTCAAATTCAAATTAAATTTACTAAAAACGATTCTGAGCGGAGACGGTCAGCAGGGATATTTGATATGATATTTCATAAATTTCTAACACACATGAACACAATACTCAAGACCACGTATTGATTATTATATCACCTTTTAGAATTGTTGGTATAAACTATAGTTCCCTTACATTTTTGTTTATTAGTTTTTTTAATTTTATTTATTGAACTAAGCCTGGCAACTAAGAGCATTAGATGTTTGTAAGGGCCCCTTGTAAACTAAGGGGGAACGGTTGGTTTAAAATACGTATTTCATGTGCGGCAAGGACTTTGTTGCTAAAAATCTCTGGTGGTCACCCATCCGGGAGCTAACAACGTACACACTGAGTGTAGACACCACGGAACTTATTATTAGTTATTACTTATTATACCTACAAATTTATTAATTTTTTCTTAGTATTAATTTATATAAATTTAAAAACCACCGAAAAATAATAAATCGTTATTTCCCCACAAAAAAACACCAATGTGTATTTATAATTTATATCATTATCCCCCCCTCTTAATCGCTCAACTTAAATACTATAACCACTATACACATACAATATATCGTAGGTATAGACTATAGATCACAATGTATGAAGGTTTATCTTACTAAATATCAATAGTTAATATCTTTCCATACATTGATATATAGTTTCGAATGTTTGTAGTTTACATAGGTACTCAAAAACTACTTAACCGAAAAAATTCAAATATACAGTTTTTTACAAATATATTTATTAAAAATACAAATCTTTGGCCTTGGCAGGGGCGGCCAAGAGGCGATACCCCCCCCCTCTCCTTGTAGACTCTGGTGAATTGTAGGATGTCTGTTTTCGGCAGCAATCAAAGATAAAAGTGTATTATAATTGAACATTTAAACTTATTTGACGCAATAGAATATGTGGATACTTGCAGTACCTAGGTACCTATTTTATTATTGGCGATATGTATTGTGCAATGATAAATTTTTAGTAAAAATATAAATTTAGTTGACATAATTGGTACGATACGATATGTACACGGTTGCTATGTTATGACCGTCGATTATCAACATCAAACGTGACACGTGTAGGTATAAAGTAAATATACAGTAGCTTTAGTACATGACAAATTGGAATTTGAATAATTATATTTACCAATTAGCTTACATAGTATTTACACTGTTTTTATTAGATTTAGGCTGAAATTGTTTTCAATGTTTTCAATATCCCCCCCCCCCCCGTAACTGTATTCTGGCCCTAACAAGGTCGGGCGGGACAGCCGGTATATACATTTTACATGTTGAGATATTGAAATATTAAGAAAGATTTTTTATTCCTCTTTACATTTAAATATGTATACATTTATTTCAGAATTCGGTTCGGTCGCTCCAAAGACAAGACTATACGCTGAAACCCTTCTGTTGGACTTGCCGTTTATGGACATGGACACGAACGCGTGCTTATACACAAATTGTCCCATTGTGAAAGACATCGAACAGAATTGGCTGTACAAATTATACGTATCCAAAAACTATCCTAAGGCTAGTTACACAGTAAAGTTTAAGTTCTGGGACGGCGGACCGGAAGCTAATAGGGACGACCAATGCTGCTTTAAATTCGACATCAATATCGTTTAACGGAAATGGAAAATACTAGCAACTACCTATATAATATATTAATATATATACATATTTATTGTCACCCACGCTAATATTTAATATAAAAATAAGACATCATTATTCATCATATAATTTAATAATATATAACATCAAAGTCAGTACCTACCTACACAAGACAACATATATCTACATAATAATATTATAATATTTTATTACTTTAGTTTAAACTATCTATATAAATTATTAAAAATTTAAATAGAAGTTATCAAACGTTATAATTATAATTATTAAAATAACATAAAATAATCGATAAACTGACACATTTTTATAACTCTTCACCAGATGAACTTCATTCTTGTATTTTTGAGTCACTATTATAACGAAAACTAAGGACATACTTCAATTAAACATACGAGGCATTACGTGTTAAAAATGCACATATCTGTCAAGCCTAAAATTAAAACTGTCAATACACAAAACTATTTCTATACCCATCTGAAATAAAATGTTTTGTTCTAGGTCCTTTGTAAGGACTCTTCATCCATCGTGGGAATTGACGTAAATAAGGAGGAGGGTAACCTCCCTGAGTTATTTATAAAGGCCTTTTTAAGATATTTTAATACATAGGTAATCAATATTATGATAGATAATATAAAAGCATTTAAGCATCCATTAAATCGTCACTTTATGGTTTCGTATAGAGAAATTATATCTTAAAACCAATATGAGAGTCAAATGTATATTTGTAGCTATGATATGGGCACCTATATTCTCAAAAACGACTTAACCGATTTTGTGAAAATTTCAAATTTGTTCTTGGAGATAGGTATTTAGAAAGTTTAAAGAGTATTTTAGACCACGTTAGATTTAAACCAAATGCCATGTACAATCCACCACAAATTAATTGTCCAATTTCATCTAGTTACCTAGTTCACAAAGTCACGCAAACTTGCCTATGAACTGAGATAGATAGATACGCCAATACCAATATACAATTATGCAACCCAGGGGCGTATACAAGGGGGGATGTGGTGGTCAGATCCCCCCCATACAACTTTTAAAGAATTGTATAAAATAGTGTTTTTAGTGTTAGCCGTTAGGGCATTCCAAGATCACAAGGAAACAAAAAAAAGCTAGGATTTCTGTAAATTTTTATTTCATAAATATAATTATTACAAGAATAGACTTCGTCTGTTCAGCCGTGCCATCGCCACCGCCGCCGATAACAACGCTGCGACAAAGACGCCCGCATGGTCGTGTGGCTAATAATACATTTTCCTACTTCTGGAAATGTTTTAAGAAATTATTATTATATAATGCACGGATGGGTTTTACGTATTTACACTACAATATTATCAATTTTGTATTAAAATCGACATTCCGT